GTAAAATTAAATGAGTCAGGGAGCTTCAGTTAGAAAATAATGTTAGGGAGGGTAGATTTTGTGAAGAGAATTTTTGTTAGTGCCAGAGAGCACTTGTCTTTTAGGAAAAGCTCATTCATTTTGCATGGTTTTTAAATTTAAAATAATTCCAAAGATAAACCAGCTCACAAAGGATGAAATGTCACCTTTGCCCCGGACACCCTTACCTCCTGCCCAAAGTGAACTGGACGCCCAGGAGAGCCCCACGTCACCGACAGCTTCTCTCCCAGCACGTGCTCACCGGGGTAGAAGTGCTGAGGTGTGATTCTCAATCTTTAAGACCTAGGAAAGTTAATAATTCTTCTCTAACCATATAAGAGTGGGGCTCTTTATTTATGATGATACCTGGGGTTTCTATAGAAATTAGCAATTTTCAGAGCAGTTTCACTTGTATAATGTCATTGGAGCCTCACCACATTCCTGTGAAATTTTTTTCTTAAAAGTAGGGGTTGTAAGCCTATTTTTAGGAGATGGACTGAGATACAAAAGTTGAGTAAACTGCCAGGGTCCCTGTGTGTCATGAGCAATGCCGGCTGGACACCTTCAGAACACTTGAACATTCTGTGTGTGCAGTGCTGCGTACCTAGAATAAGGCTCCTTCCTTACGGACCAGCTGTTCTGCGGGGCAGGAGTCAGTGGAATTTCTTTCTGAGCAGTGTTTAGTGCCCCTCGTTGCCTTGGTAAAAATGTTATTCTCCTGCTTTTCATGGCTAAAAACAAAAGTAATGATAACTTTGAATGTGTGTTTAAAATCTGCCCCTCACCTCATCAAGGGTCACAGTTCAAGAATACAGGAATGGACTCTCCACTGATGAGTCCCTTCTCCATCCTCCTTGTTTTCCATCCATGGCTGGCAAGCTGGTTTAGTTGGTTTGAGGACTGCTAACAAGGCTGGCTCATTCCCTTTATTGGCTAGTTAACATTCTACATCAACGTGCTCACTCAAGTGCATGCCCTTCAGCCAGTGAGTAAAACAGCCTAAATCCATGACTGCGTCTAAAGAATAAAGATCTTATCCTTCTGATGTTAGATTAGGAGCATTATCTTTGAAAGAAAAGCATAGCATATAATTGTGTAAAGTCCCATGCTAGATAGCAGCAGAAGAGATGATTTCTGGTGGTTTCCGCAATAGAATTTAGCATCGTAAGATAGGTTGGACATATCAGACTGTCCCAAGTAGTGGGCTGAGCTCTTGAATCCAGGTGGAGAACTTGCCATCTTTCTTGCTTTATGGACAGATGTCTTAGACCTGAGTGGGGCTTTTGGTTTTCAGTGAGACCAGAGACCAGGGATACATACACTTAATTGAAAGGAAACACACTTAGAAGAATAAAAATGTTTAGAGCGTGTGACAGTTTTAGGCTGGGCTCAGAGTCAGTAGATTGGCTATAACGGAAACTTAGAATTTGCCATCTGCCTCTGAATAGGTGTGTGTGTGTCTCACTGTTGCCTTTGCCTCTGGACCTCTACATGCCCAAGCTGGCCTTGCGTCCCTGACAGATTAGTAATGCGCTGGCTGCCTCCAGTTCCTGCTGCTTTTCCCACGGCCGTTGTCATGATACTGAGATACGGAGAGGAGTGCCAGGTTGTCCACACCTACCCCCGGTGGGAGGGATGGCCTGGGTTTTGTCATTTCCTTATTTTCCAGGCAAGTCATCCAGGCAGAGATTCCCGCTTTCCTTTTGGGAGAGCTCTAAGGCGCCCTGCCCTGATACGCAGTGGCTAGCGCTCATCCTGCTCAACGTCGGCACAGTCCCCTCATCCCACGTGAAGCCAGGATACTTGGAACTGCTCAAATAGGAATTCAGTTTTTCAACTTTGCTATACTATCTTTCCTCAAGCAGGACAATAAGCAGGACTTAAATGTCTTTTGAACAAAACCAAAGTTTAAGATTTGCCACGTGATGGGAGTGATAGGGAGGGCCAGACTTTAAGCACTGGCACTCAGCAGGTGCCAGGCTCTCCGTTCCACCCGCCACTGTCTGCCCGGCTCAGGCAGCCCTGGGAGCACCGCCTGCCCTAGCAGAGCCCAGGCCATGCCCTCATGGAGGATAACTGAAATAGTAGGGGCATAGCAATTTCCTGGTTACATCACATTATAACAAGAATCAGAACATTAATTTGAAATTGTCTTCAACTTGCTATATGCATTTTTTCATACCAGTACATTCTTAAGTGTTCTTGTTTATAGAGAATAACATAAACTAATCTGTACCTTTATACATATGTACATATATACATGTATAAACTGTATAGTGTACATGCTAATGATTTATTGATATGTTCCAAATCTTTACTGCAGTTCTCATCCTCTGCATGCCCTCAGTTTGTGGTCAGGTGACGAATGTTTCCTGATGATTCTGCCCACCTCCTGTGTTTGGATGTCTAGGGAAGAGGGTTTTGCTCATACCCTCCTTATCCTCGTGCACAGAAATGCTCAGGGTCCCCATGTGCCTGTTGTTCAACCCTCTCTTGTCTCTTGTTCCCTTTCTGAGCATGTGGTCTCTTCCTGTTCTGTACCTTCTCTTCCTCTTTCCCAAGTTGTGGGACAGCCACCTTCCTACTCAAGTGTAAAGCAGTATTAAGATCATTACTGCATGTGCGCTTAAAAAAAAAAAACAGTTTCTGTTCCCTTGGGACAGGAAATTGCATGTGAGGTGGGTTAATCAAGTCTCAATGACCCATGTCAGACCGCCCATAATAAAATTGCACAAAATGGAAATAAAACTCAAATTTCTTTAGCATTGTGTAAATAAATCTGGATGTGTTTAACTTTGTACTGGTAATTTTCTGTATATTTGCAATATTTGGGTTAGAAATAAAACAGACTGGGACTTTGTTACCTGACCTACTGAAATGACTAAGCTACAATTTGTTAATATGATACCTTTTCCAGTTTTCTAGCTTTAGCAATTATACCAAACCAGCAAATAAGCCAATTAAAGAGCCAGGAGTATGCATTTATAGTATGAAAAGTATTAGATCATTTATGGGGGAAACTACACACTTTTTTCTTTCTCATTATGCTTATAAAGATCCACTTCCCATGGGTATTTGTAAGACCAGCTTTCCCCAGAAAGTCTCACTGACCTACTGCACATACCTTCTCAGGGTTCAGTTGCTATATGCTTCCTCTGGACACAGCAACACACAATTACTCGCCTGAATTGTATGTTCCTTACAGCAGGTTTGACAAATAACAACACTGAAGTTTAACTTTGGTATATTCCCATTTGCCCCTCTCATATTTCTCTCGCTGCCCTTCCTCATAGTCCTTCCTGACCCACTTCATTTAAGGACCTCCAAAGAGCTGCAGCTCTCCTCTCTTCCAAAACATTTCTTCTAGGAGAGATTCCTGCTGATGCCCCGGAGCCTTAAGGCTGAGCTGGCTCCTCAGTCTGCCGTTCTGGGGTGCATTTCTGTGGAATACTTGCTCTGAATCATGGTCTGAGAATGGCAAGGCAAAGACCTTGTTCTTGAGGAGCCCGCTGTCTGGTGGAAGAGTTCCTCCCCCAGGAGAGGATCTACAATGGTTTAATTTTCAGGAATTTATCTATCACAGTGTTCTTAGACTTCCTACACCAGAATCAAAATGCAGATTCCCGGTTCCCACCCACACCTATTAAATTAGGCTGTTCTAACGGGCAGACCCTAAGAGTCTATGGTTTTTATTTGACTCTTGTATACCTTCACTGCAACAAAGGGCTAAGACCGACAGCCTGGGTATAAGGGGTGTTTGGAGTCCCGTGGTGTGAGGACTGTCTGTACTCATAAGGACCTTGGCTGTGTCAGGCCAGAGAAATAGGTCAGAGAGGCTTTCACACGAGTCCTGGCATGGTACAGGTGCAGCCTCTCACCAATGAGTCCTGGAGGTCAAGTTCCAGAGTCACCCTCTTTGTCTGTCCTAGCTCCTGATAAACAGGTTCCTGGGCCCAAAGTGTGTCTACAGTTTGTCCTGGCCCTGAGCCCCTCTACAAGTTGCAAAGAGGGCTTCTGTGCCACACCCCAAAAAAGAACTACTGATATCCTATTGACTCTGCCGAGCAATTGAGGGCTAAAGGGGAAAGTGAGTAAGGAGCCTATTCATTCAACCACATTCACTTTTTTCCATAAGAAAAGAACCAGGTGGGGAGGGGTACATGGGAGCTCAGTAGTTCCCCTCAACTTTGCCATGAACCTAAATCTGCTCTAAAAATAAAGCCTCTATAGAAATATAAAGGTACATATAGAGGGGACATTGGCTTCTGGAGATGAGTATGATAGGAAACTAGATAATTTGAAGGGAGCGTACAGCACATGTGGAATGATGGTTTGGTAAACCTGGAAATCAACAGGACCTTTAGTAACCAACACCTACTGTGGGTTGGCCACTTTTCAACATGTTTATCATTTTATCCTCAACCCAACCATTGCCTAGTTATCCCTTGTTTCATAGACCAAAGACCTGAGGTTCAGAGGAGTGATTTGCTCAGGGTCACCTAGCTCATGAGTGAGCAGCGTGGCCAAAAGTCACACTCAACTCCTCTGACCTTATGCCCCTAGCTCTCCTCCCGCCCCACTGCTGCCTCTCACTTTATTTGTACTTCATCTCATAGGCGACAGAGCTTTCAAAGGAGCCAGTGGCCTGCCCTAAAAATAGCTTACATTTATCAGGCACTTAGTTGGCTACGTTCTGCTAAGCATTTTACACAGATTACCTCTTTTAATCCTCATAACAACTCTGCAGTCATTATCATCTCTATTTTTCAGATGAGGAAACAGACCTAAGACAGACTGTGATGTGTTGCAAGTCACACAGCTGGTTTGGTGACGGGGCCAACGTGAGCCATGGTAGTCTGGTCCAGAGTGCAGACTCTACCTTCCACTGTCACCAGGGGGAGGTGGAGAGAATGGGGACGCACCTTTAAAGGTCAAGTGGATGAGACCTTACAAGTCATTGAATGTGGGAGCAGAAGAGAAAGAGCAGTTAAGGGTGTGCCCATAAGCTAACCTTGGAGCCCCTTTCTTTGGACCTAAACACCCTGTTGGATGAGCTGGAGTCCAGGAATCAGAGGTCCCATTTGGATGGTCTGTGCGTGGGGGAGCAGGAGGAGCTGTTTGAAGTTCAAGCTCACTCCTCTTCCCTGGTGCTGTGAGGGGTGTCATCTCACTGCCAAGATAACAGGGCCACCTCGGCCCTCCTCCTGTGGCTATTCTGGGCTGCTGTCTGATCCCCTCACTTTCCCCAGCCCCTGCCTCAGCCCTTCTGCTGAGAGTAGCTGGGTAGGGAGAGGCCAGCCCAATTAGAGAACCCTGTGGCAGGGACCCCTAGAGAGGCTGAAGAGCAGGTGCTCAGCCCCTCCCTCAGCACCAACAGTGAAAATCTGCCGCTGGAACCCTGCCTTGGGTGGCCCAGCATGGAGGCAGCCACAGTGCAGGAGGTGGCCTTGGGATCCATGCTGAAGGTGAAAGAAGCCAGCCCAACGGATGCTGAAGAGCCCCAGACTTCACCTCGACAGGGGACCAGCAGCCCCATTCCCCAGCTCCTGGCCCCTCTAGAAGGTGACTATGCGGGTTGGGGAGGGTGGGGATACCAAGCGGTGGGAGCTGGGAGGCTATCCCGACACCCCGAAAGCACCTCCTTAGGTTTGTGCAGAGCTGCATGGCTTCACGGGATCGGGCCTTAGGATGGAGGAGCATTGACTGGAGCTCCCACCCCTTTCCTTGGTGGGTTCTTACTTGCTACTCAAGGGTCCTTGCTGGGTTTTCAGCTGAGAATTCAGTGAATGTTATTTGTGGCACTTTACAGTGACTGAAAATTATGTTTATATATTTTACCTTTAAATGTCTGTCACAGGGACTAGGAGGACCTGCTATACTGATGCAGGTCATAAAGGGAACGGCAGTGGCCGAGGGGTGAGACAGTGGCCATCTTCTAGATTAGAAGAGGGACATGGAAAGCTTACAGCAACTGGGAGGCTAAGTAGCGAACAGTCCATGACACTCTGTCTCTCCCTGGGCAGAGCCTTGGGCCCAGGGCCCACCCCAGCACCACCACTGTCTCCCATGGGAGACCCTCGTCTCTCTGAACCTGAGTTCCATGAAAGCAGAGCCCTCCTGGGAGAAGCATTTGGCCTCCTCTCTGTGGTGGTCTCTGTGAGCCTCTCAGCAAAGTGGCATTTGCAAGCTAGGAGGTGGTGCATGTCCCTTCCAGTCCCTGGTTCCTATCCCTGGCTGCAGCTGGCCAAGGCCTCAGTAGTCTACAGCTCTGTGCCACTCATCTGGGCAGTCCCCACTACGCCTGGCTCAGCTGACCAGAGGTGGAAGGAGAAAGAGAGAATTCACTTCTTAAAAGCCTTGGCTCAGGGGTGATTCTCATCATTTTTCCTCACACATCACTGGCAAGAACTAGTCTTACTAGTCTTGCTGTTGCAAGGGGCAGCGCCTTCTCAGAGATAATGATACTATGGAAGAGATCATGAAAATTTGGGTGGACAATTAGCCATCTTGGTCACAGAGGTGACGAGAGAGTAGATGCTTGAAATTCAGGTTATAGAGGGGTTGCAGTTACTGATCTAGAGAAGGGCCAGGGAGCAAGGGTGAAGTGGGGAGCACAGAATTCCTGGAGGAGTGGCAGGCACGATGCATGGCCCGGGGGGATTGGAAGCATGGCTGTTGAAATCACCAGGAATCATGAGGAGCAGTGCTGGAGAGAGCGACAGTGAGCCAGGGCTGAAGCCTCCAGCAGGAGGGGAAGACTGCTGCAGGGGAGGGTGACGAGTCTCCTCAGAGAAGTGTTGCCTATCTGTGTCTATGTCCTTTTGTTTTTTCTGACCATGGTTTCATGGTCTTCAAGGAGATGACACTCTTGTCCTTCACAAGGTGCCCCTGAGGTCACCACACTCTTCTCCCATCACACTCCAAGTCCATATCCTAAGCACCTGCTAATGTTTCTCTAAGAAATACTGGTAGTTTTTGGATCCCTGGGAATCTCTGGTTGTGTTTCAAAGCCCTAGTTCACCTTGTGTATTAGCCCACTTCTGGTAACCATTCGCTCACACACACACTTATAGTAATAGTCTTACACACACACACACACACTCATGCACACACACCCTTCACTCTTCAAATGTGTCTATCTTGTTCCTTCACTCTCCAGGCCATAATTAATAACATCAGTCGGACCTACACAACCCTTAGGGAACTGCTGGGGAAAGTTCTTTAACCATGGGAAAGGAAATTGTGAGAGGATATGAACGATTCTTCCCATGAGCAAAGAGTATGGAAATGGGCATAAACTTGAACAGAATGAAGTTCGGTTAGAACTAGGAAGAATTTTCTAATGAAGAAGAGCCAAGACCTTTAGACTTTAGGACGTCTTCTCTACTAATTTCTAAGAAAGAATCAGATAACGTCCTGAAAAAAATACAGCACTGACAGACACAGCTCAGAGCCAAGGACTCTCAGAGGACTTTTCAGAATGCCTTTTCCCCGAGACTCTGCGAAGGGAGAAAACCAAACTGTAGCTGTCTCACACCTGGTCTTAGAAATCCTAGGTTCTGCTTTCGGGCTCTAGTCTTTGGTTCAGATCCTCCTGGCATCTGAGGAGGAGAGAGCCATGCTTCCCCAAGGTCAGTACAATTAACACCTCGCTGGACTACGGAGGTGTGAAAAAAGATGCCTCCAGTGAGCCCTCCTATTAACATTCTCAGCAGGGGCTCAGATTGCTCTTGTGTGCTGGGCAGACAAGACCCGGGTTACGCTGGGAAGGGCTTGCTGCTGCCCAGGCACCTGGAGCTGTCAAACACTCTTCTGCTACCTCCCACACTTCGTCAGCTGCTTTAGCCTCAAACCTGTCCTCTGCCCTCCCACCAGGGCCTGGGGGCCTGCTGAAAGTCATATCCTCGCCTACTAATCCTAAGTTGGAACATTCTAGTAACTTAAGTTTGTCCCGTGTCATTCATCATTGTGTCAGGGAATCCCCCTTATAAGCAGAGAACTGGCACAGCAGACCTCGGAGGAGGAGGGGACCACTCCAGCTGCCAGCCTGTCTTCTCGCTCTGCCCCTGTTGGGATCCCCTCTGGATCTCAGGGCCATTCTGCTCATCCTCCTCCTAACTCCCCCATCTTAGCTTATGTGTCACATAAACCTACTTCTTTAATTTTTCTCTGTAGTTCAAGTGGAACTATGCTAACATTTTCCAAGGCATTTTTCTAAGAAACAAAAGAAACACCGAGTGGGAACAAATACCTATGCGAACGCACACCAATCTATAGAAGCTGTTCCCTTCCTGAAGTCTAAGCAGGGCAGGGCTCAGTTGGCACATCTTCCTGGCATGGCAGCCCGGGCTCCTTTCCGCTCCCCAGCCTTTTCAAGTCTCGAGGGTGCCCTTTCTTTGCCACCTCCCTCCAGGGGCTAGATCACAGTCAGAGCCCTGACTGTGGTGCCCAGTCCCAGGAGGACACTGGAGGACAAGTGAGCAGGCGGATTCCCCACGCTCACAGAATGTGTCCCCCAGACACACACCCCTAGACAGGGATGCAGGAGTGCTGGTGCCAGCACAACTTTGCAAACAGCCATCACGCCCTCAGCAAATCTGTTTCTCTGTGAGCCTCTGCCTGCCAGGCTGATCCTTGTGCTGGGTGCTCGTCAAGGCCCTTCATAACGGATATTCTGTAGGCAGAGCAAGGCGCAGCAGAGCTGGCTTCTCCCCAGCCCTCTCTCCAGCACGTGTGAGTGGTGATTTCCTCAACCAACAGTGAGGAACCAAGCCCAACAAGATGAGGTTTTGACCCTCCTTTTCAACTGCCACCCTCTTTTTTCAGAAAATCCTTAAGTCATATCCGCCCGTTCTCAACTCCTTGGTGGCTTGCCAAGATGGCCCCAAGAGAGGAACACATCACACAAACACTTCTTCTGTTCTTCATGCCCGGCCCCCTCCCAAACCATCCAAGTCAAACAGAGGGCAAGCAGAGCAGGGCCATTCAGTTGCCTGGGCTCTGTGGCTGTTGCGTTCCTACTGAGGCGGGCAGACCTGGGGCAACACAGGCAGAATGGGCACTCTGAGCACTCGAGGTCCCGCATCCCTTTGCTCCTGCTTCTGTTGGGGCAAGGAGAAGGTGCAGTCTAAGACGGCACAACCCAGGTGAAAACAGAAGGCACACAGCAGAAAAGGAAACTAGACAAATAAAATGGACAGCATGCACTGAATATTTGTGTTGGTGTCCGTTTACAAAGACCAAGTGGTCTCGAGATGGTATGGGGCGGAAGAGGACTATGGGCGTGAAGTTCTGGGTCTCTAAACAATGGTCTACAAATTGAGGCATAGAAAGAACAAAGTAGGACCTCTATTTTATTTTAAATTTCACCATTCAAAAGTTTGCATTATGCATGTAATATTTACGCATTGTACATATTTAAACAGTTCAATTTATAAGTAAACATACATTGGGGTGAATGCTCAGGAATGTATTTACTGGGAAAAGGATTTTATCAAAAAGTTTGGAATCCAGTACCAAGCAGTTGTGCTGTTTGACACGGAAGTACACTGGGGTGGAGCTTTTCCAGCTGGTAGGAATGAGTTGCTAGGGGGAGCTGGGGAGTTGGTGTGAACTGGGGCACGGTCACATTCCACTGAAGACAAGAGCAGCGGGAGACTGTATCTCCCTGAGAAAGGAGGAGCCGGGAAGCCAAAGGAGGCTGGAAAATGGTGTCGGTTTTAGCCAAGCCTCCAAGGGAACCCAGGTGGGAGGTCTGAACTTTCTTGGCCAAGGCAGCCTCAGGCCAAGGAGGAACATTATACCTGGTCATCCTCCAAACCTCACACTCAGCAATTTCCTGAGCATCTCCAGTCTTGATCCTGGGAGCCAATAAACATAATCTAATCTCTCTTCTCACTGGAACAGGCCTGGAAGAAAGTGGAAGTAAGCAGTGGGCCTAATCTTTCCCAGATTCTGCTCATACAAAGTGATCCTCCACAAAATGGAAGAACACTATGCAGGTGCTGAGCAGGGCGGCCAAGCAGAGAAAGGGACCCAGAGGTCAGCGACCTCTGCAATGATGTCAGTGCTGTCCTAGTATGCCCAGGTTGTTGACTTTGCCTGTGGAAGGGAAGGGGCGGGGCTGACACTTGGAGGTTAGGATTAACATTGAAAGTGGCCTTGACAAAAGGAGTATTGTTGAAGATAAATGTAGCAAACGGGCAGAAAGACAAACCACACAGATTGGACTGGGCTGTGCACAAACAGAAAAAGAAATCTTAGTGGATGGAAAATCAGCAGTTGAACATTATAAACTAAAAGAAGCATTAGGCTCACACTCCAGTGCTCTTACTGCCAAAACGTGAACACTCTCTAGATCCTTCATCCCTACAAATGATAGGAGCAATCTTCCCATTCCCTACAAGAGAACTGAATTTGCTTAGCAATGCCTGGGATGCTTGCCATGAAGCACCGCTGAATGCAGCACCCACTCCCTCTGAGCACCACTCTTCCCACCACAGGAGGCTCACCACCCATTCTCTCCCTTTCCATCACTCAGAGCACCCTAAGATCTGGCTACCTCGGGCCCTGAGGCAGACCTACATCCGGAAGGTTGGAGACACTGTGAACCTACTAGTTCCATTCCAGGTGATCATACCAGCCCCACGCTAGGTCCACGGCTGGGACCAGGATAGGGTTTGATTTGGGAACAGATACTAAGAGCCCTGTTAGTAGTGAGGCAGTTGTCCTGGCTTTGAATGGAGGAAGCCATGTCACCAGAAGTCTAAGGCTAAACGGCCTTTCCACCTGCACTGTTGAGGGTGGGCTGGGAAGGGCCCCATGTGATGAGGTAAGGCTAATTCATGCCCTTCAGCCAGGAGAGGTCTGGGAGCTCTCAGCTGGGAGAGTTCTTGGGCGTTTGGGCAGCTATTGTTAGTCCCAGCAGCCCTGCATGTCCATGACGTAAACTCTCAGAGGGTGTGAGGCTCAAAAGCATCCCCCTTTCCCATGATCCTTAGGCTGTTGCTGAAAGACAGAAGTCCCCTGGGAGAATCCACCAATCTCTAACTCAAGCCATTGCAGCTGAGAGTCAAGTTATCATGTGGAACTGGGGTGGAGGGTCAAGAAGCTTCTTGAGGCTGCTCACTGCTTTATCCCCATTTCTCAGGGCAAACCCAAACCTCAAGCCTCCTGGACACATAATGGCTGTGCCTTGGATGCCAATCGTGTGAGCGTCCGGAATGGGGAGCGGGACTCCATCCTCTTTATCCGAGAAGCCCAACGTGCTGACTCAGGATGCTACAAGCTCAGTGTGCAGTTGGGCGGCCTGGAGGCCACTGCCACCATCGACATCTTGGTTATCGGTAGGGTGCGGGGAGTAGGAGCTGGGGTGGTCCTCAGGGGCTCCCTCTCCAGGCTGCAGAGGAGTCAACATAGAGAGCTGGGAAGCCAGGGCGACTCCTCCACACCGAGTGTGCTGCACAGAGGTGGTGAGGGGCGGGGTACTGAGCAGAGAAGGGAAAGGGGCACTCCTGAAGTGACTTCCATGCATGCGAGTTATTTCATGCCCACTGCCACGCTTGGCCCTTTCAGAAAGGCCGGGCCCTCCCCAGAGTATCAAGTTGGTGGACGTTTGGGGCTCCAGCGCTACCCTGGAGTGGACACCTCCCCAAGACACAGGCAACACGGCACTCCTGGGATACACGGTGCAGAAGGCTGACACAAAGTCTGGGGTGAGGCCCAGCTGGGAGGGAGGAAGAGAGGGAAGTGTAACACCAACTGGAATGGGGCTCTGATAGCTCCATGTGGTGGGCTAAGGTGGACTGAGTTCACAAAACAGGTGTCTCATGCATGGCATCTTCTTGGGACCCCAAAGCTGTGGTTCACGGTGCTGGAGCGTTATCACCGTACCAACTGCATCATCTCCAACCTCATTGTCGGCAACTCCTATGCATTTCGAGTCTTTGCTGAGAACCAGTGTGGGCTCAGCGAGACAGCCCCCATCACTGCCGACCTTGCCCACATCCAGAAAGCAGGTAAGTTATGGAGGCCCTGAGCTGGGAAGTTAAAGATAAAGAATCGAAGGAGGATGGGAATCTCAGGCACTACAGCAGAGCCCTTCTTGGTCACCTTAGCTACTGTTTACAAGACCAAGGGGTTTTCCCAGCGAGATTTCTCTGAAGCCCCAAAGTTCACCCAGCCTCTGGCAAACTGCACTACAGTCACCGGCTATGACACCCAGCTCTTCTGCTGTGTCCGGGCCTGTCCCAAGGTGAGCGGGGAGTTCTCTGGGTGGCTGTGCCGCACTGCTTCCTGACCTTGCTCTAACCTTAGCTATGTCAAAGAGCTTTCTAACCAAAACGTTTGTTCCCTTCATCATTACCTGCCTCTTCTACAGCTGGTTATGTAGGAGCAGTCAGGGCACTTGGAGTCCAAGACAGGCAGATATGGATAATGTTCCCAGTATTCCTTTTTGCCTTTGTTCCTAATGTATAAAGATATTGCTTTCTGACCTGCTAGCAATTGGGCATGAGCTTCAAAGTTGTCTCGCTAGCAGGGGTGATGGAGTCCTGTTGGTTTCACCTTACTCACCCACTACGTCTCATCTGATCGGGGTCTTGCACACACGAGCTGCCCGGGGTTGAGCCTGTGGCCACAACTCTGAGCAAGGCTCTCTGTCTATTTACAACCAGTTCACTCCACACATGGTAAAAGCCTTTGCAAAGTACCTTTTGTGTGTTAGTCCTGGGCCAGACTATGTGGCAATAACATCTCAGAAAGAGAATATCAGTAAGTCCACTCTAAAAATTACTTTCTAACCAGAGGGGACAGGAGTAAATCCCAAGCCAACAGTAGCAATAGAAGATGAGTGATTCAATAATATACACCCAAAAAAAAGAGGCAAATCTGACTGCCAGTGCTCCCGGCACTGCGTGAGCAGGACAGAACAGAAGTTAGCCCTTTCTTCTAGTCAGGAGCACCTGACGAACATGGCAAGGTTTCAGATGCTCTTTTCGACCAAGAGAAGGAGCATGGAGGCTGCGGGTACTGGTGGGGGAATCCCTTCCCAAATATAAGGAGCAGGGAGCTATCCAGAAGGCCGGCATCTCTTCTAGATCCGTGTACCATCTGTTCCTAAAGCACCCTACTCCTCCTGCTCCTCTGGCCGGTGTGTCCCCATGCCTTGTAGGCAAAGTGTCCCGGAGACTAAGCACAGAAAGAACAACTGACTCTTACCACCCCTTGCCATACCCTCATATTTATCTTCCAGCCAAAGATTACCTGGCTGAAGAATAAGATGGATATCCAAGGCAACCCCAAGTACAGAGCCCTCACTCATCTGGGGATCTGCTCACTGGAAATCCGCAAGCCTGGCCCCTTTGATGGGGGCATCTACACCTGCAAGGCAGTTAACCCCCTGGGGGAGGCATCCGTGGACTGCCGCGTGGATGTGATAGGTAAGGGCAGAACTCACGGTGTAGGCATCTCCTTTCTGCACAGGTGGAAAAGCTGGGGCAAAGACAAAGCCTAGATGGAAAGGGCTTAGTTTGCTTCTCCCTTCAGGCCCTTTCTTCACTGTCAACACCAGGATGCATTCAAGGAGCCATTTTTATTATCTACTATCTCATTTCTCTCCATCATAATTCTACAATATAAGAAGAGTTGCTATTTCCAGTTTGCAAAGAGAAACCTGATACACAGGGAGGTGAATGGATTACCCAAGATTTCCAGTGTTGGTTAATTGAGGAGCTGACACTATGTCCACATGGGAAGAGCCCAAGTATCCTTGTCCTCACCCGGATCGCTTTCTTAAAAAGATTTATTCATTTACTTATTTTTAAAGAGGGCAAGGGAGGGAGAAAGGGAGAGAGGGAGTGAAACATCAATGTGTGGTTGCCTCTTGCACACCCCACATTGGGGACCTGGCCCACAACCCAGGCATGTGCCTTGACTGGGAATCGAACTGGCAACCTTTTGGTTTGCAGGTCAGTGCTCAATCCACTGAGCCACACCAGCCAGGGCCAGGTTGCTTTTTTGTTTGTTTGTTTTAAACTAATACAATCTTCTGACTCAGTCCAGGAAAGCTGTGGTTGTTTAATGGGCTTTTAAACAAACCAAAGGACTGTCCCCTCTGGTTTAGTAAAAGAAAATATCGCACAACTCTCCACCTCTTTTAAAGTTTATATATTCATTATTGTCACCTTATTCAGATCTCTATCACTACACTTAACACAATTGTTTTTATAATTATCAGAATACTGATCTGTTTCCCCATCAAACTATGAGCACTGTGAGGGCAGGGACGGTTTTATTCGCCTTTGTCCCCCCAGCACTGAGTCTAGTTTCTGAAACACAGCAGGCGCTCTTAACTGTGTGTAGAATGAGTCAGCACAGAGTGCGCACTCACAAGTCCGGTCCTTCCCTATGCAAAGACTCCTCATTAGCGCTATGGACTCCCCCAAAACCAGAGAAGCATATCCCTTCCCAGGACACCAAAAGGTTTTCCAGAGATTTCTGAGATATTAACATTTAGAAATGTCTGAATTCTTGCAGCTCCTCTTTGAGACCCCCGAAGAGGACAGGTAAGAACCCTTGAGGAAGGTAAGAAAGAGAAACAGGGTGTCCAAATATTTCATGTTTATGGATAGCGTTGTTAGGACTTAGACAGATGTGTATTCCTGAGCCTTTCAACCCTGCACTCTTTGATGACAACTTTATTTTATTTTTTAAATTTTAGTTTAATTAATTTATTTTTGGGTAAGCTAATACTGTTATCCCTGTGGAGGAAATTTACATGGATGAAGTCTACTTTTGTCACATCCTCTATCTATACTCTCAAGTTCATGGTAGAAATGTATGGTCTCTGAAGAAGAGTGATGGCACCTGCCTAACTGTCGGGGGTTCTGTGGGAGGGAGGTGGTTGGATGCTGTAAGAAAAGATGTCAAAGGAATAGTTAGGAGTGGAGGCCAGATGAGGGTCACCACCACCACGTGGTGGCAGCATGGAAAAGGAGAGCGGAAGATGCTCTTGTCAATTGAGTGTTTCTACCTCAGCATTATAAGCATGGCGAGAAACAGATTCATTGCCTCTTTTTCACTTTGAAGTTTATGGATCCCTTCCCCTACATGTCATTATCATGTCATGTCAATAATAATCGAACATGCGGGTATGTGGTTCCAAGCAGCACATTACTGGCAAAGGGCAAGTCAGGTCATTGTTTAGGATTGGATAGTGCTTTAGGATTCTAAATCATTCACAGGAGAAATGTGTGTCAAACTGACCAGCGAGGTGAAAAAGAAACTCATGAGAGAATTAGAGAACAGGTTCCCAATATCTCCTCTGACTTGCAGCTTCTGATAAAAATTGTGAATGAATCCAAACTCAGAAGCCATTTATTTAAGCCCATCATTGACGGATAGCAAATGAAACCCCCAAGGGATGCACTGAAAGTACAGACTTCTCAGGAGCCCACTCTCCGCCAGCTGGCTCGCAGAGACAGTTCTCTGGCCACCCCTCAGTTTCCTGTCTCTGTCGGTGTCATGTTGGGGCAGTGCTAGCCTTCTTTGTGTTAGCTGTCCTTTCACCTCACTCCCAGCCAGTGCGCGGCAATGAAGCAGGATAAGTAGGGGATTCATAGCACGGGGTTGCCTCGGCACCCTGTACATGCTCTGGCTGTTGGCTGTTAAGGCCATAACAAACTATCCCTTTTCTGTCCTCCAGGAAACTTGACTGGTGAGATTGTGTTCTTAAGGAGCTCCAGCATATCATCTGGTTTGGATGGATCTAAATAAATGTGTGGCTCCTTGGTTATAAGTGTCCATCTGTTTGTGCCTTTCCATCTTGGAAAACCATTTGGAAAGCTGGAATCTTTAGCCAGACTGTAGAGAATCTCAGAACCTTCAGAGTCCTCTCTCTCTTCCCGTATCCACCTTCTCCCCCACAGAGCTTTCTAATCCTGTCCTTGTCCCTAGACAGTTCACGACAGAGCTGAGCTGAACTCTATGTAGTACCAGGGGCTGAAAGAGATCCTGAAGCTAACTTGCCTCTTCCTCTCTGGGCTTTCCAGCACAAGCTGGGTAACCACAGGATGCACATCCATCACAGGGACGCAGACAGAGGGACACATAAACACATACATCGCTGATCAGAGACAGAGAACTAAGACTTGAGAGTTTGGAGCCACTAAAGAAATTGCAGCATGTTCTTATTAAGCCCTAGGGAAAGAATTAAGGTGAGGTGTCCTTGCTTACATTTGTTTTTATTTGTGTAACAACAAATATTTATTCTTATAACAAATAATAAATAGTAAAGGCATTCTGTGATGCAATCTGCAAAAGATATTGAATGGCAACAATTCTTTCCATCCTAGGATGGGCATGATCTTCCTATCAAAGGTTGGCACCTGTTTCTCCTACCCATGAATCTGGGCTCACCATGCGAACTGCTTTGATCAAAAGAATGTAGCAGAGGTGATGCTGGGACAGTTCTAGACTTGAGGAAGTCTACTAGTTTCTGTTGTTTTTGCAAGATGGCTCCCACGAAAAGAATCTCAGGATAGATTAACTAAATTGTGAGAGGCCACATACAGGACAAGCAGGGAGCCTAGCTGACAGACAGGACCAAGGCTCTAGACATATGCAGTCACATGGGACTCTTTACCCATAGTCCATCCCAGTATGTGCAACAGTTTATTCTTGTATTATTATTTATTGATTACAGTATTATTTTCTATACAAACAACTGTAAATCTACTTTTGCCCCACCCTGTATATAACTAAAACAGCCTTCTATGCAGCAGTCGTTGAATTAAGAGCTTCGTCTCTGTGAACATTCATTTTACAAACAGGTAAACTGAAGCTCATAAACTGCCCTGCACATGCAGCAGCGAGTTAACAGAGCTAGCCTTTGAACCAGGTCTGCTCGACCCCAAGCCTTCCCTGTCTCCTCTCATCTCTCTCACTCAGTGACCTCCACTGCAGTAGGTATGGCTTAAGAAAGAAAAGAGTTCCAGGATCCAGTAACTACTGGGCAAAGTTTTGAGGAGGAAGGGGATGTGTTTTGGCTGAGAAGAGTGTGAAAGGCTTTTCTGTTCAGACCAATGGTCTATTTTAAGTTGACGCAAAGTATCCATTCCAGCCTTTCTCAACTGGAGTTCTATGAGAATTGAATGCTAATGCCCCAAGGCATCCATTATATATACATTAACTTCTTTCTATGTGTCCAGAATATGACTAGTTATGCACGATCCTTGGGAACATTGAGAAAATAGTCACATAAATCATTTGTAGGGTCTAATGCACTTAACCCCTGCTGAGAACGCTGGGGGTGGGGCAGAGTCCAGAGCCAGCCAGTCGTGTACACAAGGGCCGTCAGGAAGGAGTAAATACCCCAGCTCTGATGCCCTAAGGATCAGTCAGACCTCTGGCCTCAGCCCACAGCCCCCTGCCTCTGCTGTCTGTTGAAGTACACAAGTGCCACCCCTTACAGTTCACACATTCTTGACCTTCGTGGTGAAGGCATAAAATCTTCACACTGCACAAGACCCCCAGGCACAGTTACTCCTTCAGCATTCAAGGAGAACTGCGCTGGAACCCTTCGTTTCCTCATTCATGCATTTGACGCTGTGGAGTACCTTCGGAACGAAGGCTTACCATGTGCCTGGGAGGGGGTGTGATTCCTTCACTTATTCACTTACTTACTATTTATCCAAAATCTTAAACACCTATCCATATACACGTATCATTTGGGGTTGAGCTGAGGGGGACCAAGATATTTCCCAGATCAGTGGCGTTATGCCGAGTAAAGAATTCTTGTGCCTAAAATCTGCATCTTCTGACTCTGTTGTCATCTGGAAAAGAAGGCAGCTCCATTGCTTTGTTTCTGGTACTGCAACAGCTTTCAAAATCATAATGAGGTGATAGAACGTTGAAGATGAGCTTCTTTAGGAGAAACCCGTCTGCCAAAACGGCTTCCCCCGCTTACCTGAAGGTGGGTGAAGACGTGAATGCAGGTTTCGCAGGCTGCTCCTGGGGGAAGAAGGAACACAGTTATTTGACAGCTTCTTCCCCCCAGATCTCCCCTTTGCCACTGCCTGCCAGAGGCGGGGCAGGGGGAAGAGAAGCAACGGGCTCTGGCCTTGCTACCTCCTTCAAACCTGAATCCCACAAGCAACTAAAATTCCACTTTCCCCAGCAAGCCTGGGGGAAAAGAGGCGCTCCTGCCCTCTCAGGTCTTCCTCACATAAATTTGCAAGTTCGGGGCCTCCCCGCCCTTTCCCTTGTCACTCCACTCAAGTCTAAGGCCCCTTGATTCCCTGTGGCATTTATTACAGCAGCATATCACTCCAGCAAACCTCACCATCTCAACCTCCCCACTAAAAACCAACAAGTAAACAAACAAACAAACAGCCTATAAATGGCCCAAATAATGGTCACAAATGCTGGAGACTAAGGTTCAGGTTCTTTGCTTCCAGGAAAGCTCTTTGCTATTTTTAGGACTTAAAAAAAAGATTTTATTTTTTTCTTAGCGCGGAAGGAAAGGAGAGGGAAACATTAATGTGTGGTTGCCTGTTGTGCGCCCCCTACTGGGGACCTGGCCCACGACCCAGGCATGTGCCCTGACTGGGAACTGAACCGGCGACGCTTTGGTTCATGGGCCAGCACTCAATCCACTGAGCCACACCAGCCAGGACAGGATCTTTTAATTTTTAGGATATTTCTCAGAAGTTCTGCGGACCAGTGGCCCATCTACTCACAGGCAACGCTTGGAAACAACAGAGAGAAAAATCCCTGATAAGTAGTAGGCTTCGACGGTTTACAAACACAGCTTTGACTTTAGAGGTAGTAAGCTACGGACTCCCTCCAAAGCCCCTCGGGCACACAGTATAAATCCCGGTGCTTATAATTATGCTCAGTCACATCACTGTGCCCGCCAGGACTTTCCCTTCGCTGATAACCGAGGGGTCAAAGATAAAAAAGACTCAAGCCTGCATCCCCTGTAAACCAAGGAATCAGGGTTGGATCTGAAGCCGTTTCTTCCCCGTCTACAGAACCCATTGCTTTCCTTTTTCTTTCTTTTCTACCACTTTTTCAGTGTTTTCATTCCAGTTGGCATTCAGTATCAGTTTCCGGTGTAGAGCATGCTGGTTGGACATTTCCATGACTCGTGCGGTCTAGTGCCCACCTGGCACCACGCACGACATTATCACACGATTACTGACTGGACGCCCGCCGCTGGGCTTCTGCACGGCCCGGGACTACTTCGGAACTGCCGGTGGGGCCCGTCGTTCTCTTTACACCGCGGCTGCCTCGGGTTCTCAACTTAAAAAGCCGTGGGAGTTGTACTTCTCAGACAACCTCGACGTACCTAAATTGCCATTGTTTAGGCACTCCGCCACTTGGAAAGATCACCACTGAGGAAACCTGGCGACCGCGGCACTCGCCTGCGGCGTGCGCGCCAGGAAACGAATTTCCTCAGGCGGAGCGTTAGTTTCAGGGCCGACGGCCGCAAGGGGTGTTAGGGGACCACGCGGGTCCCGGGGGACACAACCCCCGCTCCTCCCAGCAGGACGAGGAGGAGGTGGAGAAAAAAATGACAGGGAACGAAACCCACACTCGCTGGCCCGCGGAGGTCTCCCGAGCGTGCGCGCGCGCTCACGACCTCTCCGCTCCTGCGCCCCGGATGCAGTCTTTCCTGGAACAGCTTTCCACACAGTCTCCAGGTTCAGACTTCCGGCCAGCTGCCCGCCGCTGCCCCGCCCCCCCAGGGCTGAGGATGCAGGAACCCGCCAATCACGGCGCGCCTGTGGTCGGAGTGGGCGGGGCCTGAGAGATTCGAAAGGAGCACCGCCCCCTGGGGTTGCAGATTCCCGGGACTAAGCTGTGGGAGAAGAGCTAAATCCGTGGGAGGTGCGGCGGGGCGGAAAGTGGAAACTCAGGGTAGGCTGGGGGTGTGGTGTGGCTGTGCTGCCCTGGGGAGTGGAAAGGTAGCTTGGGGAGAGGCAGAACCAGGAGGAAGGTGGCAGGGCAGAAGCTAAGGCGCGTGGAGCGCCCCCAGTGTGGAGAGGCCGGGTCGCAGAGGGGCAGGAGGGCAATCAGCGAAAGGAGACTGGGTTTCAGGGGGAGCTCTCTGCACCTTCCCCGGAGGTAAGGGTAGCAAACCAGAGCAGGTGCTACTCCTGGGAAGCTTGCTTTACTCCATGATGACCCTCGACCCCTGGCTTGCACCCTGACTCTCCCTGGGAGCCTTGGGCATGATGAAGACCTGGGGAAAGGTTTGTTTTCTCTCCCCTTCAGGTCTAAGCTGACTGCTGCTCCTACTGGCTGGAACATGGGAGATTTGCAGGAAGGTAAGGATATCCTGGAGGGAAGATTGAGACCCCGCGATTGAGAGCCATGTTAGGCACCCACAACTGGCATTCATTCTTTCCTCCCCTACAGATGTAAAGTTTATAGTGGATGAGACCTTGGACTTTGGAGGGCTCTCACCATCGGACAGGTACCAGCCCCTTCATCCTACTCACGTCCCTCCAATGATGCCCCTGTCTCTAACCCCTTACTGTTAGATGTTTGGCCTCTGGGGTGCGGGTTGGTCATTTGGCCAGGTTGGGTGCACCAGGACTGCTGTAGTTGGTTTACTTGGGCCCTATAATGCCACTCCTGGGGAAGGGAAGAAGAGAGAAGCTGGAATGGGATTGCAGGGTGTTAAGGAGTCTAAGTGGATTTACTGCATCTTCATCCGACATGATTTCCAGTGTCAGTAAATGCTAAAGTCCTATTAGGCCTCTAAGAGGCAGGTATATCATTCCCTAGAGGCCAGCGCCAGCATCGGGGTTTGGGGTCGTGCCCCAGTCTCCCTCACACGGTCTCCTGCCCTCTTCTGTGTGGACACGGTGCTTGGTTTGTTTTCTGTCTCAGTCGTGAGGAGGAAGACATCGCGGTGTTGGTGATTCCGGAGAAACCCCTCCGACGAGGCCTCTCCCACCGAAGTGACCCCAATGCATTGGCCCCCACCCCTCAGGGTGTGAGGTTCAGCTTGGGGCACCTGAGCCCAGAGAAGCTGGAGGAGATCCTCCATGAGGCCAACAGGCTGGCTGCGCAGCTGGAGCAGTGTGCCCTGCAGGATCGGGAGAGGGCCGGCGAGGGCCCAGGGCCTCGCAGAATGAAGCCCAGCCCTCGGCGGGAGACCTTTGTGCTGAAGGACAGTCCTGTCCGAGACCTGCTGCCCACTGTGAGCTCTTTGGCTCGGAGTACCCCCTCTCCAAGCAGCCACACACCCCGACTCCGGAGCAGCGATAAGAAGGGGTCGGTCAAGGCTCTTCGGGCCACATCTGGAAAGAGGCCCTCCAGCGCAAAGAGGGTGAGTTTAGAGGGTCTGGGCTGGGTGTGTGGCCCCAGACACAGTCTAGGCAGAGAGTGGATTCCTCGTTGGTAAGATGGAGATAGTGAAATTCTGCCTGGTAGCACTGGTGGAATTCAAAAGGCAGTACCAGAAGCCATGCACTTACCACTGCGTCTGTGCAGAGCTCTAGGTCGGCTATAATAAGCCCTCAGTGGCTGATATGATGATGATGATGATGATGATGTTAGCAACTAACTTCTGCCCTTCCTTACTGGGATCTAGGCAGCTCTCCACCTCTATCCCATAATCAGCCAGCGGAACAAATTCTTTTTCCATTCTAGTCCCATTTTTTTTTCTCTCTCTTTGTGTTTCAGGAGTCGCCCACTTGCCATCTGTTCCCCACATCCATAAGCCCAGCATCTTCTCTTCTTGCCCGATCAACTCCTCCTACTCGATCAACTCCTCCTACTCGATCAACTCCGAACAACCCCTCCAATCCGATCAACCCCTCCAATCCGATCAACCCCTCCTACCCGATCAACCCCTCCAACCCGATCAACTCCTCCAACCAGGGAAAAAGCTGGGCCTGGTGGGAGAGCAGCAGCAAGTGAGAGGACCCGGGCAGCAAAGCTGTGGGTGAGTGGGAGGAGGGGGAGTGTGAAGCTTACCCTAAAATTCTTCTCTCTGCACCAGGCCCGCCTGTCCCCATCAGACCAGTCTTGGCCCCACAGCCTTCTACCAGCAACTCTCAGCGCCTGTCCCGGCCACAGGGAGTGGCCGCTAAACCTTCCAGTCGACTGCCTGTTCCCTCGGCCATTCCCAAGCCAGCCAGCCGAGTGCCACTCACCAGCCGGAGTGTACCACCCAGCAAAGGTGCCCTAGCTCCAGATTCAGTGTCAGCTCGGAAAGGACTTCCCAGACCAAGTGCTGCAGGGCACAGAGGTAAGGAAGAATAGACATAAGGGTGAGAGGTCAGGAGCAAGAATACCCACCCTTGCCCAGCTTGACCGCACCCTCCCCGAGCTGGTAGCAACAAGCACTTTCTTTGCCTTCATTATAACTCTGTTCGAAGGTGGCGAGACTGAGTTATAGAGTGACTGTGGACCCGGGCCAAGGGTTTGAGCCTTGCTTTTCAAAAATATCTTGTGTTCTTTATCTCACTGAGAGGAAGGGCACTAATCCCAAACTCACCCTGCCTCCATCCAGTATTTTATCTTTGTAAGAAGGTCACGTGAACTTTCTGCTAACTCATTTATTTTGTTAATCCCCACCAAGTTCCTGTTTCCCAGCGACCACATCTCCCTGGTGCCACGCGCAGCAATCTGCAGCCCCCCAGAAAAGTGGCAGCCCCAGGACCTAGCAGGTAAGGCTGGTGGAAATGCTGTCTCTCTCTCCCTTCTCTGGGCGTCTGAGCTGTTAGACACATCAGCCCTGAGTCCTGTGTGGCAAGATGGGGAAGAGGAGGGAAGCCTAGAGGTTTTGGGGTGTCCCATTTCTTCCTGAGGAACTTGAACTCAGCTGGGTGATATGGGCTTGAGGAAGAAGGGTGATAAAGCAGTTCCTCCTTCTGTCTCTTTAGGTAAAAGTGATCAGAACAGCAAGCAAGAAGAATTCAGCAGCAAACCACTACAGTCCCTGCCTGGGACGCACCTCTCCTCTGGCCTCCCAAGCCCTCTCGTGGGAGGCAGTTCCTGACTCCTGTAGATTCTCGCCCAGGGGCAAGAGGAGGACATGCACCAGGGCTGGTGCCCCAGGAAGATGGGGTGGGTTAGGGTTGAGCTAGAGGAGATTCAAACTCTTTGGATGGAAAGATTAGGGAAAAGAGGTCACCCCTCAGCAGTGAAATTAACAAACAGGTGTCCTCATCCGGGCCCCCCCCCCCACCAGCTGTTGTGTGCAGCCCACAGAGGTGGACCTTCTTCCCAGGCAGTGGTTCACAGGGCAGTTTTTTCCTGTGCACGGCCTCTGTAGCTTCCCTGGCTGCCCTCTCTGCCCTCCGAGGAGCAGTCCTCTGGAACCACGCCCCCTGCCGGACTCAGAGGCAGGCTCCTGGCCCCTGGAACTTCTTTCCTGTGAATTCTGTGACTCTGAACAGGCCAGCTGATGATAAGCATCTTCCTTTGGCCTGCATTTTGCTAAAATAAAATGAGTGTATTTTTATATTCTCTGTATATGTGAGAGTAAGTCCTGCTGCAGTTTCTAACAAATGTAGCGTAAACGCCTGTGTAAGTCCAGTGAGGGAGCCAGGACGGGCTTTTCCAGGCAGAGGGGCCTGAACAGGCCCTCGGGCCTTGAGACTCCAGATAATCAGGCTGTGACTGCCCTCTTGTTGGTGTTAGATGGGAACAGGTTGCTTTTTCTCAGGGTTCTTATGTCATTAAAAGGTCCAGATCAAGAAGGGTAGCTTAGCCCTGGCTGGTGTGGCTCAGTGGATTGAATGCTGGCCTGAGAACCAAAAGGTTGCCGGTTGGATCCCCAGTCAGGGCACTTGCCTGGGTTGCAGGCCAGGTCCCCAGGAGGGGGCAAGCAAGAGGCAACTACACACTGATGTTTCTCTTTCTCCCTTCCCATCTTTCCAAAAGTAAATACATAAAGTCTTTAAAAGAAAAAGAAGAAGCAGCATAGCTTAATTCACAGGATGTGAGGCTGTCAAGCCAGGGTCTCGATATAAATTATTTATATCCTAAACTTGGGTGTCCTTTCATGACCAGAGAGCCGAGGCTCCTAGGAACTCTTGAGCATCTTGTGGTTAGGAACTCTTGAGCATCTTGAGTGCTGTGGTTACGGGCTGAGGAGCCCTTCGGTGGGCACCCTGGTATTCAGCCTCCCTGACCACCACAGGCAGGAGATACTGGGACAGTTCCTCATGGTCTACCTTATTTCAGCAGAATTGTTGGTGTTCTCCTCTGACCTCTGCTAGACTCCAGGCTTTATAATCCCCTGCAATGCATAGTGTTGTGATTTGTATGTGGCAAGAGAATTTCATTCATTTACTGGAAAAATAATTGAGGGCAAGATGGGTGTTCAATGAACGACAAAGACCCATTTGTAACAGATGGAACTAAGGGTCTCTCTCTTCTCAGAGCCTTTGACTTTGCAGCCAGGACCAACTCAATTCCTTCTGAGCATTGAAAGAATGTCTGTCTTTGAAGTCCAGGCCATGACTTCAGGAAACCAGCAGGCCACTGGGCAGAGGGAGTACATGCCAGCCGGTGCCCACCCCACCCAGGCTTCAGTGTCCCTAAGCATCCTGCATAGGTACCAAAGTGCCCCTCTGTTCCCAGGCCAGGGCCCTCCACTGCTTTCTTCTTATTGTTATTTTTTATTTTTAAATTTATAGAGAGAGGGGAAGGGAGGGAGAAAAGAAGAGAAACATCAATATGTAGTTGCCTCTCACGCGCCCTCCGCTGGGAACCTGGCTTGTAACCCAGGCATGTGCCCTGACTGGGATTCAAACTGGTGACCCTTTGATTTGCAGGCTGTCACTCAATCCACTGAACCACAGTGGCCAGAGCTTCTCCTTTACATGGGTGATCTCCAGGTTCATTTCACACACTCACCTCTACTGTAGTGACAGCTGCCTAGACATTCACCTTTCCCTCAGCCTCTTGCAGCAACTCTTGCAGATCTGGGATTCCACAAGTTGAGTTGGGGGACGAAGTGTGGAGACACTGAGTGTGTGAGCTGGGAGAAATTTGGCAGAGGCAAGAACACCTCAGGCGTGTTTCCCAGCTAAGTCTTGCACTGCTGTCTAGTAAGCAGGGCCTTTTGGTGACTACCCACTCCGACGGAAGCACTGGAAGGTTGGCAAGCCTAGGCACACACTTAGGTGGGTCCCACAGAGGGCAGGTGTGGCCTGGGTGTGGGCCAGGCCCTGGTAGATCCTTAGAATCCACAGAGCTGCAGACCCAAGCGTTGTTGCCACCTGGTGGCCAGAGAGTACAAGACATGTTCCTTTGGCCCTGAGGGGCGGGGGGGTCAGTCCTGAATTTTGTACCAACCCCACCCACTCCAAACCTGCTTGAGCGATGTGCCTTAAGTAGGTGGTGCCAGCTAGGGAGGAGGTCTGTCTGCCACAGCAGTTTTGTTCAGCCACCTGTTGACTCCCTTCCCTTTGGTCTGGCTTTCTATTTTCGTCTTTATGCATCTACCCCTGCCCCCACCCAGCAGCCACATCGAGGGAAGCCAGTGTTTATTGGCCTCTTAGTTGTTATGCACTGTGAACTGTTCTAAGCACTTTACATGTGTTAACTCATTTAATTCTCATAAAGGCTCAATTAGGCGGATGCTATTATTATCCTCATTTTGCAGGCAGAGAAACTAAGGCCCAGAGAGATGAAGTCACTCGATCCAGTTCCTGGGTTTGTGTTCTTACAATAAGAAGTAATGAGCAGAGTACATAGTTGGCTTGGAGTAGGGGTAGCTGCTTCATATCCACTGGGAAAGCACACACACAGAATAGCCCAGAGACATAGAGTTAGGAGGTACCCCATCACTGAGCACCTTGAAATTCCCGCCAGCCTCTCAGCTCAGCCCTCCCTGTCCCTGAATTCTGCCTGCAGGATGCAAACGCTAAGGGGTTGGACTGGAAACCTGCCTGCCCCGTGCAGTCTCCTCTCCAGCTACACAAGTCCCTTCTCATGAAAATGGTACCTTCCTGCCACATCTTCCTTGGAAATGCCAGGACATGGGCTCTGTGCTGATGAGGCTGTTCAGGGAGCACGACTGGGGTGCCGGTAGAGAGACTGGCTCACACCGGCCACTTGGCATCCAAGGCCTCTGACCTGGTCCCGCCTGCTACTTTTCCAGAGGCCAGGCCTCCCACCCTCTGGACGGACCACGCAGAAGCAATGATGGCAATGCTCGACCCGCACAGAACTAGTTTATTCAGTAGTATGGGGAAATGAAAAAACAAAAACAAAAAACAACCAAGCACAAAACCCTACAATATTTACAGTGACAATCAAACTGTACAATCTGATGGTTAGTATCAAGTTAGAATCCAGCATCTTTGTACTCTTTAAGTCAAGTCATCAGTAGTAAAAACCAGTTAAATTTTTAACCCTTTGCAGGAATTGCGGAGGAGAGAGGTCAGGGGGGAGAATCCATGACAGGGAAGCCAGGGACCAGTCGTACGAAGGAGAAGCAGGAGCAGTCTTTGTATCCCCCTGCTCCACAGGGAAGCCCGTGACAAGTCTGGGAAACATGCTTAGCGTAAACGGGGGCTCAAATGAACAGCAGTTGGCAGAACGGAGGAGGAGAGAGGAGAGGCAGGGAGGTGACAGCCTGGAGCGAGGGGAAGGGCCTCGGGCCCCATGCCAGGACTGCTGGGTGCACACCCAACCTGTTACAGCCACATCAGACCCCCTGGGACTGGCTACGAACCCATCCCAACACAAAAAAGCAAATAAATAAAAAATATATATTAACTCTCTCTTCGAAGGGAGCTGGGGCGAGGGGGTGGGGTGCGGGAAGAAAGAGGAACAGGACCTGGTCCTTTGAAGAAGAGAGCCAATTCCCAGAAGGGGTTAAAAATAGAACATGTCTCAGAGGCCACAGCAGGTCAGACGAAGTGGGGTGGTCTGTCTGATCTTGGGGGGGCAGGTGAGTGGACCCCAGAACCCAGACTGGAGACCAGTGCTGGGAGCGACTGAGCCGGCACTCCATTTACTCCTCCCCCGAGCCCCACCCACACGACAGCAAAGAAGCGCAACTGAACGTGACTGGCCTTCCCCACGAGTGGGGCGGGCAGGGAAATGAAGCACTTTTGGGTCAGCAAACTGAGCAAACGCCTGGACTTCGCACGTGGCCAGAGTCCAGGAAAAGGAGAGGGGCTAGGGTGGCCCGGCCACCACCTGGGGGCACGGGTTCCCCTCAAAATGTGTTCATGCAGCATTTGGGGGTCCGGGGGCGCTGAGTCCTTCTGCCCCCTCTCCGGACAAGGCTTCTTCAGTTCCTGGGAGGGGCGGCGCCGGCAGGGTGAGGAGCGCCCCCCGCCCGGCCGCCCTCGCCGCACTGAGGCCTGCCTGGGGGCAGCCTGCAGGGCTCGGTGCCCTGGGTGCATGTGGCTTTGTCCTTTCCTTTTGGTGATGGCAAATGAGGGGCAGGCCCCCCAAGAGTCGCTCTCCTCCCAGAGGCACAGCAGATGGGAAACTGAGGAGAGGCTGGGGAGCATCCTGGGAGGTCCTATCCTCTTTGGGAAGGGAGTGGGGAGTCAGTTTCCAGCATATAAAAAAAATTAATCCCTGAAGTCATGAAGAGTGAAGATCCTTTTTTAAATTCTTTTTTTTTCCTCTTTTCTGAAAAACTTTGTCTTGGAGATGTTGGCCCCAGGGGTCCAAAGTGCAGTGAGGGGGATGACAGGGGAGGGAGTTGGCACTAGATGGCCTTGGGTGGGGCGGGCGCCCCGCCCGGCAAGGCCCAGGCTCCTCAGATGGACGTTTCGTCGCTGCTGCGGACAGGCGTGGGGAGCGGGGTCAGGATAAAGCAGAAGACAGGAGTGGGGGCATGAGTGCCGCTGGGGAAGGCCAGGGAGCCTCAGAGTGTGGGGACCACCGGCCCAGGGTTAATGCAGGAAGTTAAAGAAGAGAAATCTGGAGAGGCAAGAAAGGACAGTGACAGAAAAGGCAGGCAGAGGATTAGTCGGAGCAAAGGGGACAGTGAGAAGCTTTCACCAGAAGAAGGAAACAGAAAAGCAGCCCCAGCTCCCCGCCCTCCCTTGCTTTGCCTGAGGCCAGGCTGGGCCGAGCCCACAGGGCACCGTGATTTGTGGGCATGTGGCAGTAACGGAGCTGGGCCACGGTTGTCTGCCAGGGAGAGCAGGCTGGGAAGGCCTGCAGGCAGCTCTGAGCCCAGCCGGGGCCTCTGCACCCTGTCCCGCCTACCCGGCCACACTCACTCGGAGCCTGACGAGTCCTCGTCCACTGTGCCTGCCTTGATGCTCATGGCGATGGGCATGACCCCGTTCAGCTGCTCCTGGAGACTCTGTCGGGGTGGGGGGCGGGGAGGAAGCCCGCCCCGGCTGCCCTCGCTGGCTGAGGAGCCCCGAGAAGACCCCGTGCCCTGCTCCAGGGGTAGCCGCAGGAGGCTGCTCTTCTCACTGATGGTGGGCAGACACTTCTTCTTGAGGATGCCTGTGGGCCAGCAGGGCGGGGGCCGTGAGAAGCAGGAGGTGGGAGGGCAGGGCTGCCCTGGAGAACCCCACCGGCCACACTTGAGGCGTGAGGCTGCCCACTCACCTTTGTGAGGTTGCGCAGAAAGCCCTGGAAGGGGGCCCAGGGACCCCTCCCAAGGCAGGGCGTCACCGTTCTCCCGAGGCCGCTCCTCAGAGGCTCCATTGCCACCACTCTCCTTCGCTGTGGTCCCGAAGTCTCCCGACCAGGGGATCTTCACGGGCCCCGGGCCCCCATCTGGCGGAGGAAGGGAGTAGATGAGGCCCAGAGAAGGCAGACAGATAAGGGAGCCACCACCCTAATGCTGCCTCCCAGGAACCCCAGGCCCTCTGTCCTCCCGTTGCCCCCAAAGACCGTGGCCCTGGCGCTGGCCCACCCTTGGGGGTGCTGTGTAGGGGCAGCCTCTCGGCCCCGGGCCCCAGCAGGCTGTCCCAGCCCGGCTCTCCGGGGAAGGCAACTGCCTCCTCCTCCTCCTCCTCCTCGCTGTCTGACGAGTGGGTAGAGGCATAGGAGCCACTCTGGTCGTCTTCCAGGGACAGGTCGCTGTCAGAGTCCGTGTCAGGTTCTGGGAGAGGGAAGAAAGATCACAGCTGCCCGCCCGCCTCTGCCCAGCAGAACCCAGGCAGCTGCACCCCCGCCTGAATGGCCGTCAGGGGGCATCCGTCCTCACCATGCTGCTGGTCTTGACCTTCCAGGAATAGGCTGCTGGGGTCCCCCAGGCCAGGGGGCCCTTGACCAGGGTTCAGTGTGGACTCCTCCCTATGGACACAAGACCATGATGGAGGGGCAGCCTGGCCCCGAGCCCAGTGTCCCGTTCTCCTGGGTTTTCCAGTTCCTGCCCCGTGTCCCTGCTTCTAATTCAAGCTGCCACCGGTGTCAGCCACGGTGTGCACTCCCCGCAGCTGGCTGGCCAGGATCCGGCAGGCACAGTGCTCTTCTCCCCTCCCCACAACCCATTACCAGGGCTCACCTCAGCAAGAAGGGGATGTAGCTGGGCTGACTCTTGCCCGAGCGGCTGGCACTGTGCAGAGAGCCAGCTGAGTCTCCATAGGGCTGGTACAGCCGCCCGTCCGCATACGGGCTGGGGCAGTTGTAGGACTAAGCAGGGAGCGGAGAGGTCAGTAAGCAGAGGAGCAAGATGGGGTGCTCCCAGGCTAGAAGCAGCAGGGCCGAGGGAGCCTGCCCTACATTCTACCTCCCACACACCCAGGTCTGAGAGAGGCCCCACGGCTCTGCCGTCCCCCACCGCAGGGCCCAGTGCTCGCGGCCCTGCGGTGGCAGTGCCGGTCCTATCCGCTTCAAGTTCCCTGGACTCGGCTGTGAAAGGGCTTGCTGGCAAAAGATGGCACCAGGGACTGTCTCCTGACAGCATCCTGGGAGACACAGAAAATGCACCGAGAGTCCCAGGGGATTCTCAGGTGTTGGGCATTTGTGACCTGATTACCTGTCTTGGCCACTTCGTCACCTTGTTCTTCCAAGTTCCATGCCCATCCCTCCCACATCAAAAGTCTCCTCCCCACCTTTCAGGCCCCCTTCTTGACAGGCCACACGAAGGGAAGGATGGGGGGATGGAGGAAAAGTGGGACCACAGCACAGAGAACAGGCTCCTTGGGCCTCTTGCCTCTCCCCGGATCCCCCGAGACCCCTCCACCTCCCTAAGCCCCGGCCCCTCACCGAGGTCAGAGTGGACTTGGTGGTCAGAGCAGGGTCGGGACTGGGCTTACGGCTGCACGCAAACTTGAGCACTTTCCGGACCTCCTTGCTAAGCACCACGTAGGAGAGGAAGATGAGGGGGCCCTGGCAGGCGGGAGGCGGAACTGCCTCAGTGCTTATTCCGGGCACCCGCAGCCACCCTTCCCCTCCTGCCTCCCTGGGGCTCCCGCAGGCCTGGGCTGGGCCGGGTACCTGGATGCAATTGCAGGCAGCAAAGAGGTAGTGGAAGAGGAGGCTGTCACTATTGACGGAGAGCAGTGCCAGCAGCCACGAGGCACTCAGCAGCAGGAGGACAGCGAAGGAGGGCCTCAGGCCCGAGCTGGGGAGAGGGGCGGGCTGTGAGTGAGTGGGGCCCTGAGGCCTTCCACACTGCTGCCCACCCTCCACTGGGGCAGCCACACCCCACACTCACACAGGGCCTTTCTTCTCGAAGCCCTGCCGGTGGGCAGCACAGGAGGCCCGGGCCGCCAGGATGTACAGGAAGACGCTCATCTAGCAGGGGAGGGGGAAGTGTGAGGGGCATCGTCAGGGGACACACGGCTTTCCCCACACCGGGCCCTGGCAGCCTCAGCTCTTCCAGATCCTGAGGACCCAGTCAGCCCAGCCCGCTTTCTAGCACTTACCGAGACAGCGAAGGCCACAGGGCCGGCGAAACTCCAGATGAGGGTGTCGTAGATGGAGAGCCAGCAGAAGTCGGGGTTCCCGTAGCCCTCGGGGTCCAAGCCCACGGCTAGACCTGGGAGCACGGCAACAGCAGCAGGGGAAGGGGTGGTCAACACCCGGAATCAGGTGGTCAGGTGGGCGCACGGAGCCAAGCACAGAAGCAGACGGGAACTGCCCACCATCTGTCCCTGCCGTCCTCTCCCAGGACGGGGGACCCAGCCACTGGGTGGGGGTTCCAGAAGCTGGGTTCAATCAGGGGGACACCCATGGAGAACCTAACCTGGGGCATTGGGATGGAGGGCCTCTGGGCCTGGGGTACGGGTGGGGAGAACATGGAATGACCAAGCCTGGAACAGGGGTGGGGTACCTGTGATGAAGGCGGGCACGCCCCAGCCCAGCATGTAGTAGAAGCGCATGGGGCCGGCATTGACATCGCGCACCTCGGTGAGAGCCCGGTACAGGTGCAGGGCCTCCAGCAGAGCCCAGGAGAAGGTGCAGAGGAACAGGAAGTGCAGCAGGATGGCGATGACTGTGCAAGCGAACTGAGAGCCCAGGCCGGGTCAGCGGCTGGGCACACCCAGCGCTCTCGTCGGGCAGAGGCCCAGGGCCCGGGTGTTGGGAGGTGCTTCAGGGGAAGTCGGGGCCGGAGGAAGGCACTTCTAGGTTGCTAGGGAAGTAAGGGGAGCTAGAGAAAAGGAAACCGTGGGCCAGGCCCTGGGATGGGCTCTGTCAGCTGCTGCTGCAGGAGCAGGGTTCAGAGTGGGGGTGGGCAGGACTCCTCAGGGCCCCCTAGAGCACTGGGGGTTGGGGGGACGGGGGACAGCTTACAGGGAGGTCAGCCTGGTTGATTCCCAGGAGGAAGACCAGCTGAGCTAGGCCCAGGGCGGCAGTCAGGTTCCGCCGGATGCCGTGCTGGTTGGAGCGAAGGGCACGCAGGACAGTGAGGAAGAGGAAGGTGAGTAGCAGGGCAGCCAAGGTGACCCCTAGGGCCACATAGGTCAGTGTCTTCAGTGGCAGGATCTCCCCATTCTGCAGGGTGGGT